CCCTAAACCCTAAAACCCTAAACCCTAAACCCTAAACCCTAAACCCTAAACCCTAAACCCTAAACCCTAAACCCTAAACCCTAAACCCTAAACCCTAAACCCTAAACCCTAAACCCTAAACCCTAAATCGACATCGAAACCCATGTTAATATCAAAACCCAAATCCTAAACCTTAAGGTTTAGGATTTGGGTATCGGGTGCGGGTTTAAGGTTTAGGATTTGGGTATCGGTTGTGGGTTTAAGGTTTAGGATTTGGGCGTCGGTTGTTCGGTTTCTCGCGATTGGAATCAGGAATGAATGGTGTTAAATGTCTCTACACGTTGTGCACGACGTACGAGCTCTTGAACGCCGTCGCGCCGCCTCTGCGCGTCTTGTGGAGCGCGACGGAGCCGACGACGAGACCGGCTAAACCGACGACAAAGCTGAACGCGGCGAGCGCCTCGACCGCGCGCACCTCCTTCTTCGACGCGCCAGATTCTGGGGCGCCCAACGCGTGCACCTTTTCAAACAACGCGGCGACGCTGGACGACGAACCGTGCTCCGTTTGCGTCGCGCAGTGGACGTGAAACGCATGCATGTAAGTGCCAATGTCGGACTCCGTCACGGCGTGCGATGGCGTGCTGGAGGATAACGCCTTTGTCAACTGGTCGATGGCTTTGCAATAGTTTGCGTAGGCCCAAGACCCAGCGGTGGGCCCTTTGCGCACGTCGAAGAGGTCGTCGAAGAACGTGTACGCGTCTGGCGCGGTAGTCGCTCCCTTACGCTTCACATCCGCGGCAATAACGCGGTACATCGCTTGACCCTCGGCGGTGAGATCGTCGTACGCCGACATCTCGCCAGATTTCAACTTTGTATCAATCTTGTACGCGTACTTGATAACGCTTTGGGAATAGACGACGCGAAGCCACTTTTCAATCAATTCGTAAATCTCGTGAAGTTGACCGCAATCTGTCTCCTCTTGACCTTGACGCAAAAGTTGGATGATCTGTTCGTACGGCTTGGCGGAGTGCGTGGAACCTAAAGTGCCGAACTCGGCGCCTCGCTTTTGCGCGCGACCGAGCACGGAGTGGTAGCCGTCGCCGATGAGCAACGCCGCCGCGGCGTCCCAACGACCGTCTTGCTCGTCGTTGCGTGAACCAGTCTCGCACACACCACCATCCGCGACGAGTGCCTGCGCCTTGCTCAACAGATTGAGCGCGCCGTGGAACCCGACTGCATCCATCATCGTCTTTTCAATCATCTCCTTGGCCGCTTCACGGCGTGTATCGTCCTTCGCGAGTTCCACGGCGTCGCTGACGTACGTGGAAAGAGGTGTCGAACTGGCGGGGTAATTTCCACTCGCACGAGTTTTCGGGAATTCGTACTTGGTCATGTGATCCCACTCGTTCGATTTGTACGACGTCCAATCCTCGGTCCACTCCTTGTACGACTCGACAAAATCTTCGCTCATGTCACTCCAGTCCGACTTCTTGTTCAGGACGTACGCAGCCAACTCGACAAAGATGTGCGCGACGTTAGCGCCGAGCGCCTTCGCGCGCTTGAACCGAGCGAGAGCGCCAGAATCCGAACTCGACGTGAGGTCCGTGGGATAATACGACCCCGCCAAGGATTTGAGCTCAAGGGAAGGATCGTGATTGGTCTTTGCATCGCAGTCCACGTTGGCGGCGTCGACGTACGTTCCGAGGTCGCTTTCCTTCACGTCGTGCGTCGATCCAGTTTTGATGAAAGCGACGACGTGCTTGCGAGCCTCGCAGTAGTTGGCATAATTCCATGAACCAGCAGTCCGCTTCACGTTGATTCTGAAGTATTCGTTCAACCATGCGCCCTCGGTCGATGCTTTGGCCATGACGTCGCCTGCGATGACGCGATACATGGCTTGACCCTCGGCGTGCAGATCGTGAAACTTGGCGGTCACATTTCCAGAGGCGATCGCCATGTCCATCTTGTACACGTACTTGAGAATCGATTGCGAGTAAACGACGCGCATTTGCCACTCAATTCGTTCGTAGATTTCATGCAGGGTCATGTCCGATCCAGCGCACGTTTTTTCTTCTTGTCCGGCGCGCAAGAGCTTCATAATCTTTTCGTACGCCTTCGCGACGCCCGTGGCGCCGATGGTGCCAAACTCGAACCCGCGCTTCTGCGCGCGTCCCAAGACGGAGTGGTAGCCATCGCCGATGATCAAAGCCGCGCCAAGATCCCAGTGCGCCTTCGTCGCATCCGTCTGGCTTGTTCCGGACACACAGACGCCGTTCTTCGGAGAGCTCGAATCTACTTCCTGCGCCGTGGCGAGCGCCTTGAGAGATGCTTGATACCCGGCGGCGTCCCAAACGGTCTTCTCGATGATTTCCTTCATCGCTTTGATACTCCCCGCGTCGCTCTTCGCCTTCGCGACCGCAGCCGCGACGTAACTCCTGAGCGGATCGCTAGGCACCTCGACTTCGTTACCGTCGACTATCGGAATCTTATTCTCTGTGAGACGAACCCATTCGTTCGAGTAGAGCGTGTTGTTCTCGACCCAAGGTGCGATCCACGCGTCGTAATCTTCAGTCATGTCACCCCAGTCAGAGCTGACACCGTCGAACGTCGCGAGCTCGGCGGCGAAGTGCGCGACGTGTTCGCTCAGCTTGAGCGCCTCGGTAATCTTCACGTCAGCCGTTTTGTTCATAATGGTCACGTTCGATGCGCTCGACAAGTCCGTCTTAAACTTGAACGACCCCGCGAGCGTGCGGAGCTCCGTGACCGCCGCCGCGGCGCCGCGCGCGCCGCACGCGCTCGCCATCACCGCGAGCGCGAGCGTCATCTTTCCACGTCGTCGTCCCCCATCCCTCGTCTCGCTCGCTCGACCTCCCATCGCGTCCGTCGCTCGGCGCGTCCGTCGATGTGTGCCGGTTGCCGACGCGGCGGCGCGCGCGCGCACCCGCGTGATAACGTCACACATGGTCATTCGTCAATCAATGTACGAGCGATCAAAAAAGCGCGTGGCGTCGCGTGGCGGACACGCGCCATGGGTGAAATCCGTGATTTTGATTGGTTCACGTGTGATATCCGATCGCGATGCAACACCCGCGTGTGTGATCGTGTCTGTCATCGTCCGTTTCTCGACGCCGTCGATCCTTGTTCGGTCCTCGTCGGATCGGAGCCGTCGTTGACGATCGCGCGCGCCGTCGTTGACGATCGCGCGCGCCGTCGGAGACGATCGGGTGTGGGAAACCCACAACCGACACCCAAATCCTAAACCTTAAACCCACAACCGATACCCAAATCCTAAACCTTAAAACACACCCGCGTGTGCGAGCGACGTGAACGATGCGCCCACGTCGCGTCGCGCGCGATGGCGACGCCGACGCGACCGCGCGCGGTGGCGGTCGCGGGCGTCGCGGGCGATGCGCGCGCGAGAGCGCGAACGCACGGCGCGCGCGACGTCGGCGTCGCGCGCGGACGAGGCGCGGGACGACCGAGAACGCGCGCGGTCGTCGCCTCGAGGCGAACGAACGCGAGAGCGCGAGGGACGGTGACGGCGACGTTCGGCGTGGACGAAGCCGCGTGGTGCGCGACGTCGAGTTACGCCATGTATTGCGTGTGCAGGTGCTCGCGCGCGGCGAGAGGGAACGCGCGAGACGTCGCGTTCGCGAGTTCGCTCGCGTCGCTCGCGCCGGCGTGCGTCGCGTACGGCGCGCTGTTGATCAGGTCGTGGACGCCGGAAACGCTGTCGCTGATGATGCCGGGATCTCTCGAGGAGGGATTGGCCACGGGGAAGGTGCAGTTCATCCCGACGCTTTCGTCCATCATGACGCTGCTGAGCGCGCGCGCGACTGCGTCGAGCGCGTGGACGCATCTGCTGTGCGTCAACGTCTTCGTCGCTCGACACGTCGCTCTGAAGACGTTTGAGCGATTGCGAACGCATGGTTACGCTCCGCCGAGCGCGCACACGTTCGTTCTCGCCACTTTACTCGGTCCACTCGCGCTGCTTTCGCACGTCGTCACGTGTTGGGCTTTCGACTGCGTCGCCGAGAGAAGGACGCGCGGCGCGGCGCCGACCGCGTGATAGACGCTTGCGTCGATTGTTTAGCTCGATATTGTATTCATTATTGTATGACTCGCATCGCCACGGCGCACCAGCGCTTCTGCCGTTCGACGACTTGCTCGACCACTCGCGCGTCGGTTAGCGTCTTCGCGCGCTCAACACCTCGGCCGACTTCACTCCCTCGCTCGTTCGCTCTCACCTCGCCCGTTCGACCTCGAGCGCGGTCGCGATGTCGCCTGACGTCGCCGACGATGACGTCGAGCAACGCGATGCGCGCGCGGACGCTCTGGCAACGAAGGACGGTGCAGAACACGGCGCGCGAGCGGTGAGCGAGTCGATGGAATCCCAGACACGCCTGGACGTGGACGTGGACGACGCTGAACGCACACAGAACGCGACGGACGTGGAAGAGGCGAAGAAAGTGGGTGATGAGGAGGCGCGACGTGCGCTCGAGCGCGCGCCCGATCGGGAACGGAGACTCGAGGCCGTGGTAAGAGACGAAGAAATCAACGCGGAGGACGTTTTGAGCGACGAGGCGCCGCCGGGACTGGAAGACGATGAAGAGACAGCGGACGGCGACTTAGAGGCGCGAGCGGTCGCAGCGGCGATTTCAGGGGTGAGGATCGACGGACGAGTGACTCGGACGTTCGGAGTTCTCATCCCTAACACGACGACGACGGCTGCGTCAAACGAAAGTCAAATTTCCATAGCCAGGCGCCGAGCCAAGGCGAGCGCATCTTTAGCGTGGCGCACGCGTCTCGAGTCCCTGGCGCCGGATGAATCGAGCGATCAGGTGGAACGTACGATAGACATACGGGCGAGAACGTACGAGGAGACGACGAGCAAGTACATAAACATGAGCTATTTTGAAAAGAGAGTGGCGCCGTTGATGACGCACCCCGATGGACGACGGAACGATACGACGGCTCGCGTCGCTCGATGGATCTTTGGCGAGCAGTACATCAAGAGAGATGGTTTCGTCGACGAAGAGAGCGATGAAGAGATAGAAACGACCGGTGAGAATAAGATAGAGGACGATGTGGAGAAGCAGAGCGATAGGCCGGCGGAATCCAACTCCGCGTGTGGATGGTGTTTCGGCACGACGACGCCTACGAAAGTGGTCGAAAAGCCGGTGATTGAGCACGCTGACGACGTTGAGTCAGAGTCAGAGCGTCGGAAGCCAAAGCCCAAGAAATTTGATATCACCGTGGCAACGCAAGATTTGCTTCACAAGCAGAATGAGTGCGCTCGATTAGAGGCGAGTTGCCTTCAAATTTTTGCCGATATGAAGCGCACCGCTCGGGATCTGCAAGGGACATTTTCGCGGACGATGATGAAGACCGATCCTCGCGCGATTGAGCTGCAGAGCACAATCAAGATGATGGAGATAGATCTGAAGAGGATGCTGTTCAATCGAGACGCGCTGCAAGTCGAAATCTCAAAGCTTCAAAAGCAAATAGCCGACGATGAGAGTATGAAAGCACCAGAAGTCGTCGTCGTGGAGAAGGATGAGATTTCTGAACTTTACGTGAACGATCCTTTCGAGACATTTGGCGGTCGCAACGGCGCGGCGCCTGTCGTTCTCTTCCTAGCCCTCGCGCCCTTGTACCTGTGGACACACTACGAGTGGACGCAAACCAACCGCGTCACAAAACTCTCACTCAAGCAACGCTCGAGCGAGGAAAACCCCATATCGAGCGTGTACTTTTACAATCCCTTGATGGTACCCGGAGCGTGCCGATTACGCCTTTCGGCGAGTAACGTCGAGCTCTTCGCTCTGCTCTTGGCCGTGCAAAGCTTGGTGAGCTTCAAGATCTGGGTCGCCTCTCAATCCGTGTACGAGCATGAAGATTTCCTGACGACGTATCAGTACATGGTGATCACGTCTTTCTTTTCAGTCGCGCGACCGTGCAACAACGCGACGATTTACTCGTTGCGGAGAAGTAAGAGACGAGCGCGCGAGCGATTCACGCAAACTCTTTGGAAGGAAGACGAGTACGAACGTGTGCCGATCGACAGCACCAAACGACTATTCGCTCCGAACGAGTTCATCGGAACGAGCGAAGCTGCCTTTGACGTTGCCAGCGTAGAAGACCACGAGGAATTCAGTAGTCGTCGGAAAATCGAGCTGGATGAGGATGAAGCCAAGGATTCGTTGAAAATACGCATCATGACGGAACTTCGCGAGGAAGGAGGACGGTTTGACGACGCTTGGAGGCGCGAGGAGGAATTCGACGAGCCGTCGACCTCAGACTCGGGAGGGAGCGGAGACGCGGATAGAAGAACAAATGCATTTTCAGAATACATAAAAAGCTCGCTCACGGGCTCGGAAGCGGTTCTAGAAGAAGGCGACCCAAGATACGAAGAGCTTCGAAAAGAATACGTCTTGAAAGCTCGGGCAGAGCGTAAGGCAGAGCAAGGCCAGAGTGGCGCGCGTTCAATCTTCGACGTTTCCGGCTCGCTCAATTCACTCCTGTCTCGTGGCGAGGCGCAGACGGACACCGCACGTCCGAGTATTACGCAGAATCTCGAAGAGCAACAACAATCACGTCTGAACATTGACGAAGCGGATTCGGTTCTGCGAGCGGTGTCTTTTATGAGCGCGAAACATAAAAAGAAGGCGGGTGGAGGGAAGAAATATTGGCCGAACGGCACCGCTCCCGCGGATGAATCAAAGGTCGCGCGCGCCGTCGCAGATGACGACGACGCTGAAGGGTGAGCGCGCGTCTCTTAGCTCGACGTCCGCGCGTCGCGCGCGCTTGTTACTCGTACGCCGAGAGAACCAACTTCGTGCCCTCATTCGCTCGCACACCGTTACGCGTCACACGCGCGCCCGAGGGCGAGGTTGCGCGCGGCGATCGCGCGGTGGTTGATTTCCCGACGCCGTGGCCCCGTCGTCGTCGCGCGCGAGAGCGCTGAGCCTCGAACGCGACGCCCGTGGTCACGCCATCGTTCGCCTCGTTGGGTGAATTGCGCGTTCGACGAGGTAAGAATCGTCCTCGACGCGGTCGTTCCAAGGCTCCGCACGCGATGCCGTGGACGACGAGAGAGGAAGAGAAGCTCAGAGATATCATCGCCAGGCACGGAGCGAAGAGATGGAACGCGATCGCGACGATGATGAATGAAAGCGGCGCGTGCGACGAGCCCAAGACGGCAAAGCAGTGTCGACGCAGGTACACGGGACACCTCACGAACGAAATCAAGGAGCACGAGTGGACGAGGGAGGAAGACGACGCCTTACTGGAGGCACACGAGAGATTGGGAAACAAGTGGACAGAGATCGCGCGCATCGTCGGTGGGAGAACCGATAACGGGGCAAAGAATCGGTACAAGGCGTTGGTTCAGAAGCTCGGCGCGAGCAAACGACGAAGGCGAGCGAGTGGGGCCAGGGCGACGACGACGGCGACGAAGGCGACGAAAGCAGAGCCCGCGGACGAGATCGCGCGTGCGAAGGCGGCGACGGGAGGGAAGCGGAAGGCGACCCAGAAAGCGGAGGCAGTTGCCTCGCGCGGCGCGCGCGGTTCCAAAAGGAAATCGACACTTGGAGAGAACGCGGCACGATCGCGAGGCGAAGAAAGGATATCCCCAACGTTATTCATGAGATCGCCCACGAGTAGCCCGGGCGCGTCGGAGCGCTTGACTGCGTGGAGACCGACACTTTCCATCAACATTCCGAGTCGCGACGTTGGGAGAGGAGGGAAGAGCGCGTTGCAGCCTTCGACGTCACTCAAGCCCGCGGCTTCGCTCAGCGGGATTTTTCCCGCCGGGTATTCAGTTGGAAAAACGCTCAGCCTTTCGTGCGCAGAGCTCGACTTGTTAAAGGAGGTCCAGGAGATGATATCCCCGCGCGTCATGGCTGCCAACTCTCCGGGCGGGAGTAATGGAAGCGCCTTTGTGCGCTACGCCGATGGCGCGTCTAGAGACTCAGAAGAAAAATCGACGAACGGCTTGAAGCACGTCATGAGTTGGCTGCTCTCAGCCACACCGGCGACGACGGTGCGAGAGGAGAACATGGGTGATGATCGGAGCGCGGTTCCGACGTCGTCGAGACGAAGCGCGGACAACGTCTCAGTCTCGCTCGCACCAAACGAGGATGGTAGCGATGCCCTCGAGCGCGGGGCGACGCTCAAGCACTTTTTGAGTCTCAAGACTGAGGGAACGACCCCACGATCGGCGAGCGCGCGTCCCGGGTCGGACCCTCTCGCTCGCCCGGTGTCGATTCCGTCTTTCACCCAGAGCGAGTTGAATTTGCTCCTCAACGCGCTCGGAGGATCGACGCAAGCGAGCCCTCGAGCGGGAGCGACCGCGTCCAAGGTAGAGGTCGAACCGATTCGTGCGACGAGACACCGTCGAACGCGCGCGTGATCGTGTGATCCCGTAATGTCGTTGTAACAACATTCGGTCCGCTCGCGTAAGTCACACTTGAGCAAATCGCGCGCCGACAGCGTGATACTTCTCGACGCGTTCGAACGATGCGGGTCGCGTTCGAGCTCTCGCGCGCGACGACGACGGCGGTATCGACGTCCACGGTCGCGCACATGCGCCGCTCGACGGCACGCAAGGCTCTGAAACGACCGAGTTCTCTTCACACGCTGTCGCTGACGAGGCGTCGAGCGCGAACGACGAGAGAGACGCTCGCGCGCGAGTCCGCGTCCGAGCGATCGAGCGAGCCGTCGACGTCGAATGCATACGACGGTTCGATCGCGCGCGCCGAGACGTCGACGTCGTCGACGTCGATGGAGGTCCAACGCGCGCTCGCGAGGAGAATGCTCGAGGCGCAGCGGAGCTGGGTGAGCAAGAGCGCGTCCACGAAGGACGTGGACACCGACGTCGAGGTCGTGGGCGTCTTCACCGAGGCGTATACGCGCGTTCGGTGGCTCCTGGGGCTGTTGATTTTACAGAGCACGTCAAGCTTCGTGCTGAGCGGATACGAAGATTTAATCAAGGAGAACATCATCGTGACGCTCTTCCTCACGATGTTGGTCGGCGCCGGGGGCAACGCGGGAAATCAGAGCGCCATTCACGTCATCCGCGGTTTAGCGACGGGGGAGATGGAAAATACGAACGAGTGCATGCGGAAGACTCTGGTTGAACAATTTCAGGTCGGTTTAATGCTCGGAGTGGTTTTGTCTAGCGCTGGTTTCGTGCGAGTTTTACTCACGTCTCCGCAGGGCACGGACGATTTAATCGGGCCGTTCGCCATCGCGACCGCGTTGTTCGCTATCGTCACCACGTCCACGTGCGTTGGAACGGCTCTGCCATTTCTTTTGATGAGGTTGAATCAAGATCCGGCTAACGCGGGCACGAGTGTACAGGTCGTCATGGATGTCAGCGGCGTGATAATTACGTGCACTGTTGCTTCCTTCATCTTTGAGCACTTCGTATGAGTTAATCGACCTAGAGGCGCGCGTATAGGCTAGCACGAAACGATCGTAGCGTGTGTTAATTTTTTCAGATTTTTCTCAACGCAGTAAAGCGACTAAAATTTCGATTATTTGGGCACGCTCGTGGGAGCCTCCACGCGCTTGCGACGGCGCTTCTACGAAACCGCCACGACTGGCACGTGAACCGGCTCGGGCGCACTCGCCTTTGGGACGAGCACTTTCAATACTCCCTTTTTGACGAAGGCGGAGATCTGGTCGATGACTGCGTTCGGAGGCAAGATGAATTTGTTGACGAACTTTCCAAAGTGACGTTCACGCTTATGGCGGGCGGAATCGATCTCGCACGACGACGCTTCTGAATCGCAAGGACCCTCATCCACTCGCTCGCCTCGAATCGTGAGCACGTTTCCGATCACATCGACTGTAAGATCAGCAAGATCGATGCCAGGAACATCCGCTGCGAAAGTGATCGTGTCGGCCGTCTCTGTGACGTCAACGGCGGAACGCGAATCTACGAGAGACGAGAACAACATTTGCGCGAGCGGCCAGCGGTGCTCGGAGTCGTCCACCACGATAGCGCCATCATCGCCCACGCTCGGTGCACACACGTCGAAATTTCTCACGAGATCTTGTACGGCGTTCAGGGCGCGAGATATCTCATTCTTCGGACTAGCGTTGTCCTCCTTTGCCGGCTCGCGGTGATGCTTTATTGGGAAAAGCTGAAACGCGCAGACGGGAAGAGCGATAGCGTGAAAACACAGAAACACGGCGAGAGCGCGAGCGGTAACGCGTCTTGATTGACGGTACATTTCCAGCGTGAAGTGAAGATTTTCCGGGAGCGACGCGAGCGCGGTGATTTGTGAAGTCTGCGCGCGTCGGCGTCGGCGTCCATAAACGAGAAAATGTCATGACATGTTTCAACTTTATCCACTCGTGTCCGCCGCGGTGAAATCATCCTTGGACAGATCCAAATCTTTACCCGTGATACGCTTGTAAATATCAATCACGTCACGAACGGTCGTCTCGAAGTGCGTCGTCGCATCGTAGCCCGTGGAGATGAACGCTCCGTCGGCGACGCCGTCGGCGAGCGGATGGTGCACATCTGAGACGTTGTAGAACAATTCGTCGATCGGGCCGAGCATGCGAAGACCGACCTCGAGCTCGCGCTGAGGGTCATTCGTTTCGACTGTCGTACTAACGGAGGCAAAATATCGCCCCTTGGCGCACACATTGTGCGACGAACCCGCGCCGAGAACGTAGACGTCGTGACGACGTCCGCACTGCGCGGCGGGGATGATGATTTGTACGCTCTCCGCGTCGTTCACGTTTGGAATCGGGTGGCTCAGCAAGCACAGCGCTCTGACGACTTGTCCCATCACCTTGGTCTTCCCCGGAAAGTAGCTCGGATCGCCGACGACAAATTTCGCCTTGGCGGTTTCGCCCTCCGATTTCACTCCGCACGCGCGCCCAGTTTCCTCGTCGTACACCACCTCGACGTCGTGTTTGGCGAGCATGTACGTCCCCCCATACACCGCGCTCAACCGTGCGAAACCCTGTGGGAGCTCTCCCAGGCCGTAGAGCGGGTAAATGTACGGAGATCCCGTGTCAAAGCGCGCCATGGAATCCGAGTACAGTCGCACCGCCTTCACCAAGTTCACCGCGGGTTCGTCGAGGTACCGCTCGTTCGTCTTCAGCGCCAGCGCGTGCCCGATGAACTCCACCGTCTCCGCGGCTAAACCAAACTTTTCGTACAACTCTCTCGCCGGCATTCGATGCAGGTTGTATCCCCCGTGCGTGCTCGGATCGGTCTCGACGAAATTTTGCACAAAGACGAAAAAGCTCCGCGCTCGCAACTTTTCAAACATTCCCATCAGCGAGCTCCTCAGCGCCTCCTTATCGTTCGCGGGAACTTTGTGAATCTTCCCTCCCTTCCCCACGACGAAGCTCCCGTCTCCCGCGCGAAACTGAATGTATTGATGCACGCCCGTCTTCACGAGCACCTTGGTCAAGAGTCCGTTGCCCATGATGTACTTTGGAATGAGATCGATGTTGTAGTCTTGGTATCGTCCGTATTTCGCCGCGATCGCGCTCTTATCCATCGCTCGCTCCTTTGCAAACTTTTCAAACACCTGCAACAGGTTCAGCGACGCGCTCTCGCCGCCGTAGTAATCGTTTCGATCGACGTGCAGCACCTTCATTCGCTCCACCGCGCTCAGGACACCGGCGACGAGGCACTCCTTCAATCCGGTGCCCAAGACGACGACGTCGTACGTCTGATCCATCGCTCGCGCTCCACCGCACGACGGCCGCGCGTCACCGAGCGCGCGCGCGATCGTGACGGACGCCGCATCGACGGACGGCCCATCGCATCGCGCGTGCCAACGAGGGTTTAGACGACGTCCCGCACGCGGTCCCCCATCGCCTCGAGGACGTCCTCGACCGCGCGCGCGCGCGTCATGCGTCGAGCGCGCGCGGTCGAGGGCGTCCTCGCGCGCGCGGTCGAGGGCGTCGTCGTCGCGGGCGTCCACGGAAGCGGACCGCGACGGGCGGAAGGCGCGGTGGTGACCACCGCGCGGGCGTTGGCGTCGACGACGTCGTCGACGCTCGACGCGCTCGCTCGAGCGTCCTACAGGACGCTGCTGCGAACGACGTCGGGGGTGGATCCGCGCGCGGGCGCGGGAGAGGCGCGCGAGCGGTCGATCGCGCCGAGGGCGCGACGGGTTCTCGTCGAGCGCGTCTCCGCGCTCGCGCGCGTCGAAGCCGAGCGCCTGGGACGGCGAGAGCGTGGAGCGCACGAGTCGACGCTCGATCCGCGATTGGCGTTCGCGGCGTCGTGCGCGTTCACGACGGCGTTCTTTCGTAGGGCGCATCGGGATCGGACGTCACCGGAGTCGCAACACGCGCGGGCGAGCGTGGGATACCTGGACGGAGCGCGCAAGCGGGAGAAGAGAGGAGAGGTGAGAGAAATTTCGAGGAAGGAACGACGAGTCGAGGAGACGAGGAAACTAGTGGCTGCCGGTTGCGACGTCGAGCCGTTCGCGAGCGAGCGAGCGAGGGTGATTGGGATGTCCGTCGGGTTGATTCCGCCTCTCTCGTGATTCGCCGAGTCGGTTGAGCGCTCGAGTCGTCATGGTCAACTTCAAGCAGCCTCGCGGGCCGAACACGCTCACCTCTGGCGTGGCCAGACGCGACAGGAGTGATGTAGACGTGGGTACGTACGTGTCAGAGATCGATCGCGTGATGTACGACGACGTGACGGGCTTGAGCGAAGACGGGAAACATGTCAGACTGCGCGTGGTCCCGGATGAAGCCGAAGACATCGCTTCGAGCGCCAGATACGCCGCATACGTGCACGAAAGCGTGTCGAGTGTGATAAATCAGTCGTCAATTGCCTTTTCTCGACGAGGCGCCGCTCTCGGAGGATCATGCATCGCGCTGGAGGTGCGCGAGGACGTCCCGATGGGTTGCATTCGTTTGACAAACGCGCAGCGACACAACTTGCGCGCAGGCACGGACCGACCGATGGAATTTGAAGCGGTGGACGAGCGCTTGGAAGCGACGGACGTCACGATCGAATTACGTTTGATGGACGACGAGGTCCGGGAGATAACCACGCGCGTCGAGAGTGACGTCGCGAGACGCGCGCTACAAAAGTCGCTCGGGGAGATCGGACGAGTCGTGTGTGCCACTGAGATTTTCACGCTGTCAATCGAAGGTCGAAACTACAGGGCGCGTATCGCGGAAGTCAACTCTCTGAGCGCTGAGGAAGAAGCTCATGCGGTGGGTTACCACTGCTTTCGCGCCCGCGTTCACGCGGAGACGACGTTCTACGTCCGCTCGAGCGACGAGAGCCGGTTGATCATCGCCAACAATCAAGGCAAAGAACGAAGCGTGCGCCTGGCGAGGCGCGAGATTCTTCAGGTAACGACTCGCGATGGCGAGACGTTTCCCGTGCATCGTTCACTGCTGAGGCAATGCATCTCCCTCACCGGAGCGGTTAGGCGAGCGGGAGATCTCGGTGATGAATGCGAGGAACATGTTTGCGTACAAGTTGATGTGGACACCGACGTGTTCGATCGCGTCTTAATCTTTCTAGAAGCCTTGGCGCTCAGGAAGACACCACCAGCGTACGACATTCGCGTGACCGAAGCGCTTGCTCTCGCAGCATCGACGCTGGGATGCAGAGTGCTCGACGAATACTGCGCGGAGAAGCTCGGCGCGCACGCTTCTCGGATTCGGGAGTACGCGTGGGACGAAATCGTCGCTCACAACGCGTCTGGGGGCGTTTGGCTCGTCATAGACGGCATGGTCTTGGACGTGAAACGCTGGCTCCCGGAGCATCCCGGAGGTGATGTTATCATTCCGAACCAAAGTCTGAATCTCGACGCGGCGAGGCACTTCGAGATGTATCACTCTTCTCGTGAATCTTTTCTGTACCTGAAAGAGTTTTACATCGGTGAGGTAAGCGCGCGCGATCGCGCCGAACTCGTACCGAGTCCCGAGCCAGCCCCGAGTGAGGACTTCATTCGACAGTTGCGACAGTACACCACGTTCCGGCTGGCGTCCGAGCCGACGGCGGTGCGCGTGCACTTGGGACAGTGACTTCACGCGAGTACCGGTACGGGTAGAAGATAGTTTAGACTAATACTGTTTTTTTGTTACATTGTTGCGCTAATGTACATAGCATCAGATGCTCCCACGGCTTCTGAGCGTCTTGATATCGAACATGCTTAGGCGGCGGCGCGACGGCGATCGAGGCGTGAATCCACCGAGCCTCTGCGGCTGTCGATGGACACTCGGGCGCACGTGTCGAAGGACTTCCGTTCGTCGCTCGGAGCGGGCGAATAGAAGCTCGAAACCGCCTCGACGTTTTGTCGACCCGCACGAGCGGCATGGAATCGAGATACCTCCAACAACGTTTGTTCCGTCGAGAGACTTGCGCGCGATACGGCGGACATGAGCGCCGACGTGAGCGCGCCGCCGAGCGCCGAAGCCAATCGCTCTTGATTTTGAAGCGAGATGGCGATTTCGCGATCGACAGCCTCGCTATTTCTGCGAGATTCGACCTCAGCCTCAAGTTTGGCGCGCTCCTCGGCAGCCTTTCTCGCCGCGCGCACGGCTGGCGGCGCGTACGCGTCGGCGGACGCCGGAGCCAAGCGCGGGACCTCCCCTTGAACCTTCTTCGGCGCGAGCGGAGATCGCGGAATCGGTTCGTAGCGCTTCGTCGCCGATTTTGCCGGAGATCCCGCGCGGTTGGCGCGAGCACTCGCCCAGAACTCCCCGAATTCCATCGGCTTGACGTAGCCGTGTCCGAAGACGAAGCGCCCAGGGCTGAGTTCCTCCAGGTCGAGCGCGGCGTCATCAAAGGTACCGCCAATCGTGAGCACGAGCGCGCCGTTTTCGTCGTGACCGTAACGCACGCACGACGCGCGGTGATGGCGAACCGCCAAACCTCTCCTCGACTCGTTATCAAAGGCGACGACGGCGAACGGACGAGACGCGCGCTTGGCCAACGCGCGCAGGGCGCCGCCGACGGCGCGCACACGCGCCGAACCCGCCTCGACGCTCTCGCACACAGAGTCGAGCTCGCGAATAACATCGCTCGCGTCGACGCCGTCGGCGCACACGATCCATCGCGCGCTCGCGTCGCGCGTCACCCCACTCGAGTGCTCGACGGATGCGAGCTCGGTGGCCCCGCACGCCATCGCGGCTCCAGACGCGCTCGTGGCGACGTGCGACGCTCGAACGCCCGCACGCGCGCACAGAGCGATCACGGAATTTTTCGCTCGAGTCGTCTTCGCCTCCAAGCTCTCGTTCTCCGGCTCAAGCGCCTTGGACGGGGCGCTGAGGACGACGACGGTGGACCGACCGGTGACGTCGACAACGGGCGCAGCGATCGCGCGCGCGCGCGCGTCGCCTCCGCATCGACGCCCGCGGGCGGAGGACGTCGTCGTGGAAATTTCACGGGGCGCGTTCGGTCTCATCGCGCGCGCGTCGTCGACGGTGGCCGCGTGCGCGTGTGCGGAGTTTGCGTCGCGCACGAACGCGTCGTCGGTGACGTCGGTTCGATTTCTCGCCGTTGTCGGAGGGACTCATCAAGGTTCATGACTCGTGACGCGTCATATCTTCCCAAAATCCATACGCGCGTCACGAAAACAACGAATGCTCGTGACGTCACCTCGTGTGGACGATAACTGTACGAGCTCGGAGACGCTCGGTGAGCGCGAGGGCGCGGCGAGAGGCGCGGCGAGCGATGGGAAAACGGTCATCGGGATCGTTCGATCGACGGTTGTGAATCTCAATTAAAATTCCGGGGAGCAAATGTCATCCTTGTCGATCGCGCACTCCACGCAGCGCGCGGCGTCTTCGAGGCACTCGACGTCCACGTCGAATGAGATTCTTCGAATGAGTGAGCTCCCGTCGTAACGCACGCGAACGTCTATGCCACGACGATCGATGGATATGATCCAGAGATCGTCCACGTCGAGCTCCAGGACCTTGCTCATCTCCCGAGCGAGTCGAGCGGAGAAGCGCGCGTTGAGCTCGTTCAGCGTCTCCACGACGCTCCGGCCCGATTGCGAGGTGACGATCGTGTCCGGGGACGTCCCCATGTACTCATCCAGCTTGATCCAGTTGAGCGTTCCGAAGCCGCCGACGAAGTACACGTCGACTATGCGGTTCATGCGGTAATACGTGTAGTCGCCCCAGCGGTCCTCCATGTCGATCGCCTCCTTGCGCCCGTGATACTTTGCCTTGAAGATCTCGTTCGCCGCCGTCTGATACTCCCCGCCCGGTAGACGCTGAACATCTCCAAAAATCGTCACTCGCGCGTTCGCCAACCCGCCCCAACCGCTCATCTTCACCGTGAGCGAGCACCGCCCGTCTCCCTGAATGTTCCGCGTGTGAATCGCCAGCGGCGCCAAGCAAAAGATTGGATGCCCCGTGGCGTCCGTGGCGAAGTCCACCGTGCTCCCGAACGGATACCCCGCGCGTCTGTGATGCATCTGACTCATCGTCGTGCTCAAATCACCGTAATCCGCGAGTTCCATCAGGTTTCTCGCCGCCGTCGCCATCGAGGGCAGGTTGCTGTCCTTTGTGTCTCGGCTCACCACGCCCCCCGCCATGGGCGTCCGCAGCAACCTCGTCCGTCCCATCACCCGCTTCTTCGCGCTCTCGAGCGGAAGATCTAACGACGCCGTCGCCTCCGTCGCCTCCACGCGCCCTTCCCGCGACGCGTCGTCATCCGTCTTCGCCGCCGCCGTCCCGCGCGCGCGCCGCCGCCCTCCACCCCCCCTTCCCATCGTCCCATCGCGCGCGCACCACGCGCGTCCACCGTCTCCACCGTCACCACCGCCCGCGCGCACGAACACCATCCGCGTCCACCGAGCCACGGACCCGCGCGCGATCGTCCGCGCCGTCGCCCCGCGCCGTCGCTCCCGCCCGGGCGTCGCGCCCACCATTCGCGGTCCACCGCGCGCGGGGTCCACCGCGATCGTCGCGAGCGACATCACGCCCGACGATCACGCGCGCGCGCGGGGTCCGCGACGCCACCGTCGCCGTGACGTGGACGCGTCGACGCGGTCGCGAGATGACCCCGGCGCGCGCGCGGGACCGCCGGTCGCTCGGTCGGTCGGACGCCTCGCTCGGACGGTCTTTCGGACCCGGTCGGTCGGACGCCTCGCTCGGTCGGTCTTTCGGACCCGGTCGGTCGGACGCCTCGCTCGGTCGGTCGGTCGGACCCGGTCGGTCGGACGCCTCGCTCGGTCGGTCTTTCGGACCCGGTCGGTCGGACGCC